ATTTTTGACTGCTTCAATAGTTTCTTCAATATATTTATCTTCTGTTGATTTTTTCGTCGCATTAGTCGCTGCAGTTGTGTATTCATCTATATTGCCTAGTAATTCTAATAAGTCTTCACTGTCGTCCGCATCATGTTCACCATCAATATCTTGATTTACAGGCAAAAGAATAGGATCGATTGCATCATTATCAGTTTGAGCTTCAGCAATAACTTGAAGTAAATGTTCATCGCGATCTTTTTTACATTCATGTAAAAGTTGAATATTTTCTATGATCTTCCATGAACGAATGGAAATACGATTTTGTCGAGATTTAAGAGCATCATCCCATGTTTGATTGATGTCACAAAGATCTGTAACGGTGCGCCAAGGTACGAAAAGTGTGAGAAGAGCTCGACTATATCGTTCTCGAGTATCGTCACGATCCCGTCGAGGAATTTGTGGACCATAAAGAATAGGTACATGGTACTCACTATATTCCATCAAGAGATGTGTTGTTATTTGTGGATGCTGCTTGTGGAAAGGATAACGTTGATTATGTGGTCGACCTTTTTCTTTAATCTTGTCTTTCATCGATGCTGCAGCTTCGGATAAATACTTCAAATCTGCTGCGTTCACTTTTTTCTTATACAGTGTGCTGACAAAGTCGTATAAACACATATCATTGAGAATATCGGAGCGATATTGATAATCAATTCTTGTGTTAACGAGTACGTATTTTTTATCATTTTCAATCGATTGAATTTGAAAATGTTCTTCGTCATTGTTTTCATCATCAATAGCTTCATCATCATATACGTCATTGTCGGTTACATCTAAACAAAAAAAGACAATATATCTTAGTTGTTATTTAATTATGATATTTCAGCTCAAGCGATCTTCACTATTTCTCTCATTCACACGTGCACCAAAAATAACAGTTAGAACATTTTTCTATTGTAAAATTTAAGATTTGGGTAACATAAAATAAAACATTTCGACAATACATACAGATGGAAGAGAGAAGAGAAAAAAATTATCGTACTGGTTCTCTGGATGACCTCTACAGAAAAAAAGATATATATAGGATAAATCCACTATTATAAGTCTAACGATGCCAAAGTGTATTTTTGATGAATAAAGTAATGAGTGCCTACAAATTTGTCGAAT